TCATGATAGTAAAATAGGGCATTCTAAGTCAATATACTGCAGTATTTCCTCTCTCAATCAGTAGAAAATATGGTTAACACCCGGTCTTGCATGAAAAAAAAATATATCGTCATGTACCGTGAAACCGGTATAATTTTGAAAAATACCGTGATATAAATTTTTGGTCATACCGCCCAGCACTAGTACAAAGGTTATTTGACCTTAAAGGGACATCAGCCTTAATGAGAGTTCATGAATGAAACACGCTTTTGAGTCAATTCTTTTCAATGAATTGGTTGATCCAGCTCACAAAACCAACCTGAATGATCTGTTCATGAATCAAACTGATCTGTTCCACTCACTGACTAAATGATCCAGTCACAGCAGTTAACATCAATTATCATGAAAAACATCTTAAAGGGAGTTTTGTCATTATTTATTCATGTTTATGTCGTCAAGGTGACTTTTTTGAAAAACATCCTGGCCAATTTATTTTAATGTAAGAAAGCAAATGAGAATTGGGACTGTTTAATTGGGACTGTTAAACTCCAAAATGATAATTAAAGCAAAATAAAAGTATCATAAAAGGTAGTTCATATGACTTCTGCAATATATTCCAAGTCTTCTGAAGACATTCAATAACTTGACATCAGCCTTAATGAGTTTATGAATGAATCGCTCTTTTGGGTCAAATCTTTGAGTCAAATCTAATGGCACATTAATGATGCTTTTGCAACCTTCAGTCATTCTTTGTAACTAAATGACAAAGAGCAACAACTACATTCTTCAAATTTGACTAATGTTCCACAGAAGTATCTCATATGAGTGTGATTAAAATCAATTTGCATTTTTAAGTGAACCTTCCCTTTAAGATAAAAGTGCTGTTCTGAGATCTGTTTATGCATGACTAAGCATATTTTATAATATTATTCAAAAATTGTGCCCACAGCAAGAATAGAAAATTAATAATTAGAGTTACATAATTATGAGCAAAAAAAAGAAAACTTATTCAAATAAAATTCTACTCCTGCGCCAAGAGTGTTCTTTAGAATCATAATTCAGAACGACAGAAAGAAAAGCCATTGTGATTAGCTCATAACTGAGTGGGCTACTCAGGAAGTGAGAATGACTGAGTGAACATCCAGACCACAGATGGGCTTATCCAGGAGGTCTGGAGGAGATGTACGAACAAGGACAATGAAACCACTGTACACGCTTTCAGCAGAAAACACACCACGTCACCTATCTTCTTTAACACCAATTATTCAGCACTATCACTTTCATAACAATCAACACTCTGATATCACAGACCAAAGGACCTGTTGAGACACAAGTCAGTGACTCAAAACATGAAGATGAGGGTTTCCCATGATTATCATGATTCTTTAATCAAGTCAGCTCCATGTTCTATGGGCGACATGAACAAACACAAACACATAAAGTCCTCAGGAAGTGCATGAATGAGGCCACTGTGTACTGATGCATGTTCCTCAAAGAGAAACACAAATAAACACAGTCATTGCTCATAAAAGACAAAGAATGAAGGAAGAAAGAGGGGTAAAAAGAGTGCACTCTCTCTCTCCATGCTCTCTGTTTTTGACCATTGATCTTTGGCCTTGAGGGGGCCGGATAACTTCCTGCAATGAATTGCTCAAACAATAGGAACGTTCTCATACAGAAGAATCAAAACAAAGTTTTGTGACTGTTTATGTATATTCAGTAACTAACTATAATAAATAACAACTTATTTAAATAATAATTAGGGCAAATTAGGTTTCCAGTTTCAAACCAAGTAGTTACTCAGATATCAGGCAACAAATGTTAATTGTTAATAATACCCATTAAAGGAGCTAATATTCTACTAATTACAGTCATCAAATCCATGCAAGCCCACTGAAATAAATGCAATCCAAAACACTCCAGGTTTTTACATTATATGTAGTAGTTGGGATTTGGTTAGAAGGGCTTAAGCACACAGAATGGAAATATTTCCCAGAAACACTGTATTTGTGTAAAAAAAAAAAATCAACGTAGTACATAAAACAATTATTGAAGAATGTTTTATAAGAAAACACTATTTCAGTCTTTCTACTTCAGAACTTCATGTTTTCAGTGTGTCGCTTGCCATTTCTTTGTAATGAATTGCCAAATTTACTAGCAATTTCTGAGTTAAAATTATTTCTACACCATTTTTTTTTTCACTGTATCAGATGCTGTTTGTCATCAACATCCATCTGGAATAACCATCCAGGTGAGCTTTTTAAGTTGCCGCTGAGCATCACTATCAATGTAAACTTGGACTTGAACTTTCAAGTAAAAGGTTTGCCAGTTAAGCCAAGCCTCAAAGTAGCCTTTAACTCATATACAAACATTCAAAGTGATCATCAGTTGTGTAATACTGCCAGCAATGAACTTCACTGCAATACAAACAGCAACGCAGCCACCCAATTACAGAACAGAGGGAAATTTGATTACCTCATTATAGTTGATTTTATCACAACAGCTTGTATAATATGAGAGCCGGGTGTAATTGGGAGAAGAAACAAGCCAGGAGAAAATGAAATGAAGGTAAGTGAAACTCATCAGACGATGACAACAGGAACAGAGATAGGCTACTGTAGCTCAGCTTTCTGCTCTATCCACAGTCTGTGACAAATGTTTCACGGCCAATCAAACACAACATGTATTACTAAATATCCCATCATTATACCTTGTTTACATCACTAAAGAGCATCTTAGGTGGGATAGTGCTGCACTATTAGGACAGCATATGTCAAGCATCAGCACAGTGTTAAGAGGAACAAACATCCGGCTAAAGCAAACAGACCGAGCAACTAGAGTTTGAGTTTTCAGCAACATGCTAACATGTCATGTGTAAACCCGAAAAGCTTGTTTCTTCAAGACCTTGGAGGACTGAAGACAAATATGGACTGCATAAAACCGACCGAACAGAAGCCAATGTGGCACTTATAAATGTCATATCATGGTACTAAGATTTTTTTTCACATATAGTCATGTCTTTGGATATGGTACTACTATAGTGTTTTGGACACAGTGCCATGGTAATATTGGAAATACCCTGGAATGTCATGTAAACACCATGGTAAAGAATGTCAGTACTGGTACTTTTTTTATGAGACATTAATATCGACGTCGCGTATCTCTCCACGTTCTCGCGACCCCCGGGCGTGTTTTATCGCTTATTTACATATTTTAACCATCAACGGAAAGCTGAAACAATACGTTACAAAACTTGCATGTCAAAGAGACGCGATGTTATTGTTGTGTTACAAAGCTTCAAAAGCGGCGACTGCGAATCCACTTAAATCTACTGCTTCAGCCTGATTTAATTTGAAAGAATGTCACAAATGTAGCAAGAACAGATCAAGTCTGAAGGAGGAAAGCGCAAGACTCAAGAAAATCAAGCGATTAGGTTGTTTTAAACGTTTACAAATATGTGCGGCCAAGAAATGTAAACCACGCAGTTAAAACAAACAGAAAGTTGAACGCTCACTCACCTTTCTGAGGAACAACTCGCGATGGCAGATCAAGATTCCTGTTCGGAAACTGCCAGAGAGCGATCGCGATGAAAGCTTTACATCATTCGTCTTCCAAGTGGATCGCTGAAGCTAGTGGGGGGGGGAAGAGTATTCCTTGCGAAAAGCCGGGGAGGCAGTCCACTTTGTTAGGGAAATCCGAAGAAGTATGGGCGATGTTGGGAAACCAGCGTCGAAAACAATTCCAGGGCTTTTCCACGCCCTGTAGGCTGAGCTTCAGATACGCCGCCAGGTGCGCATGAAGTATGAGTGTTCACGGGTACCTGTGTGAGTGCTGAAGGAAACCCGGTGAAGTAAAAGTCCCTACAGCTGATGTGTGAGGACACAGGACTCATCTGGACCTGCCAGATTGACCAGAAGGAGCACTCGCGCGCTCTCTCACCAGTTCTCTCGCTCTCTCTCTTTCTCTCTCTCACACATTCACACATATACACACACACACACACTTTCAATTTCAGGATTTTATATGCATTTTTAAATGCAGTGACATAATAAAATAAAATAACTACAATATACAATATGATGGATAGAAATTTATTTCAATTTCATGGCATGCGTTGTTGCCAAAGCATCAATACACAAAAAGTCACATAACAAAATAAAGCAAAGTTAATCAATTAAAATGACGATTTAGTCAAATAAATGTTCAGGAATCATTTTCAAGGCTTCAATACAATGGCATTAAAAAATAAATAATTAAATTAAATTAAATTATACCAATAAGCTGCAAGTATTTTTTATAAAATAATAATTGCAATAATAATAAAAAAATAAAAAAAAAACAGATAAGATGTATTTGTATTTTATGGTATACATTTTTGACAAAGCATACACAATACACAAAAACAGTTGCATGGTAAAATAAAATATGTTACCAAAGATACTAATTTCAGAAAAGTTAATACATTAAAAAAAAATGTATACAGTGCAATTAAAAATGCATTCAAACTGTTTCTGACATTGTCAGTTTTTTTTCTTCAAACTATATCTCTGTTATATCTATATTTGTTATATCTATCTTTACTTAATACTTCAATAACTGTATGGACACGGAGTCTGTATTTGATAAAAATCTGTTTCTACTTTTTATCTCTGATGGCGATGAGACGTTCTTCCAGATGATACTTTATGTTTAGACCCCGTAGATCCATCCTGCCTGTTTCAGTCTTCAAAATTGTTCGAAAAAGCATTTTCCAGAGTGGAAGTAGGAATCAGAAAGAGTTTTTTGCTCTAACCTTTCTTCAGACACCCTTGAGGCCTCCCACAGGCCCCCTGCTGTGAAGCCTGAGCTGGAATAAAAGAATGATCTTTTCCTCTCCCACTTACAGTAAATCTGAGATTTGCGGTAATCTGACTCATGCTGTGACTGAGATTAAGGCCAAACCAATTGTAAATCATAATCAAAGGACAGAAATTGAGGATGGATGCAGAAAATTGTGTTGTGACAACATATTTAAGCCCACCTCTTTCATTTCAGTCCAATGTTTTTAATCCTGCATGTTTATGGCTGCTGTTTTGAAGATTAATGTTCGGCTGAGTAGGATAATTTAAATTAATAAAGCTTTAGAATAACAGATTGACAAGCAATATTTGCAAAAATAAATGAATTAATTAATTAAAAATAAAATAAAAAAGTAATGTTAATAAAACAAATTCAATATATAATAAATTAATATAGTTTAATTAATTCAAAAATTTTAATTGTTAAATAGGCCTACAATTTAATTTTGTGAAATTCCAAATAAAAATTTTTTAAAAATCTAAAAACATACTTGTTGAATCAAATTCAAGGTATTTTATTGACAAGTTTGGCAATACTGGCAAAGCATACACAAAAACAGTGACAACAAAAGATTAATAATAATTATTATAATAATAAAGCAAAGTGGTGCTAGCATTGAGAATAAAGAAATAATTGCAATATACAAGATAAAATAAAATGCAAGAGAAAATAAATCTTATTGCATACAATGCTGCCAAAAGCTTAAACAGTACCAACAAATGGAAAAAAAAAAAAAAAAAAAAAAAA